GAGGATGTGATGTCACAGGGGAGCTGTGATGTCACAGAGGAGGATGTTATGTCAGAGCAGACATGCGATGTAACAGAGGAGGAAGTGATGTCACAGAGCTGGATGTGATGCCACAGGAGACCTGTAATGTCATAGGCGACCTGTGATGTCACAGAGGAGGATGTGATGACACAGGGAGTTGTGATGTCAGAGAGGAGGATGTGATGTCATAGGAGACATGCGATGTCACAGAGGTGGATGTGATGTTACAGAGAAGGATGTGATGTCACAGGGGAGCTCTGATTTCACAGAAGTGAATGGGATGATAGAGGAGACCTGCGATGGCACAGAGGAGGATATGATGTCACAGGAGAGCTGTGATGTTATAGGAGAGCTCTGATGTCACAGAGAAGGATGTGACGTCACAGGGGAGCTGTCATGTCACAGAGGAGGATGTGATGTTACAAAGGAGGATGTGATGTCACAGACGAGGATGTGAAGTCACAGAGGAAGATGTGATGTCACAGGGGAGGATGTGATATCCCAGGGGAGCTGTGATGTCACAGGGAGCTGTGATGATACAAGAGACATGCAATGTCACAGAGGAGAATGTGATGTCACAGGGGAGGATGTGATATGAGACGGGAACTGTGATGTCATAGGAGAGCAGTGATGTCACAGAAGAGGATGCGGTGTCACAGGGGAGGATGTGATATCATAAGGGAGCTGTGATGTCATAGGAGAGCAATGATGTCACAGAACAGATGTGATGTCACAGGGAGCTATGATGTCACAGAGGAGGATGTGATGTCACAGAGGAGGATGTGATGTCACAGGGGAGCTGTGATGTTTTAGGAGAGCTGTGATGTCACAGAGGAGGATGTGATGTTACAGGGAGTTGTGATGTCACATAGGAGAATGTGATGTCACAGAGGAGGATGTGATGTCACCAGAGAGTTGTGATGTCATCAGAGGGCTGTACTGTCACAGAGTAGTATGTGATGTCACAAGAAACTGTGATGTCACAGAGAGAATGTTATGTCACAGAGGAGAATGTGATGTCACAAGGGAGCTCTGATTTCACAGAGGTGAATGTGATGACAGAGGAGACCGGCGATGTCACGTAGAAGGATGTGATGTCACAGGAGAGCTGTGATGTTATAGGAGAGTTCTGATGTCACAGAGGAGGATGTGATGTCACAGGAGACCTGCGATGTCACAGAGAAGGATAGGATGTCAGAGGGGAGTTGTGATGACACAGAGAAGGATGTGATGTCACAGGGAAGTTGTAATGTCACAGAGGAGGATATGATGTCACAGGGGACCTGTCACGTCACAGAAGAGTATGTGATGTTACAAAGGAGGATGTGATGTCACAGACGAGGATGTGAAGTCACAGACGAGGATGTGATGTCACAGAGGAGGATGTGATGTCACAGGGAAGCTGTGATTTCACAGAGGAGGGTGTGATGTCATTGGAGACATGTGATGTCACAGAGGAGTTGTGATGTCACAGAGGAGGATGTGATGTCATAGGAGACATGTGATGTCACAAAGAAGGATGTGATGTCATGTAGAGGATTAGCTAGCAAGACAAGGGCATATGGATATAGCTAAAGCTATGGATGAGCTGTTAGAGTATAGAACAAGGCCTGTCTAGGCTCATGAGAAGATCTGAGATAGCAAGGCCATGGTAAGGTTACAGTGTTTTTGTGCCTGCTAGTTGGCTGGTAAACAGGAGGTTGTGATTAGCAAAACAAAAACAACTAAGAGCCACCTGTGTCAACAAAAGAAGGGAGTAAAAGTGAAATCAACATTTAAGCAAGAACCAATAATGAGTTTAGCTTTTGCAATATGTATGAGCTAATTATAAAGTGTATATTAAGTTGTTAGCAGTGATCAATAAACGAAGTTTGCTGATTCTCATATTGAGCATCCCTCTCTTCCCTCGTCGTGACAATGTCAGAGAGGAGGATGTGAAGTCACAGGAAGTTGTGATGTCACAGAGGAGGCTGTGATGTCATAGGAGACCTACGATGTCACAGAGATAGATATGAGGAGGTGTGAGGTCACAGACGAGGATGTGATGTCACAGAAGAGCTGTGATATTATAGAAGAGTTGTGATGTCACAGAGGAGGATGTGATGCTATAAGGAGCTGTGATGTCACAGAGGAGGACGTGATGTCACAGGGTAGCTTTGATGTCACAGAGGATGAAATGATATCATAGAACACGAGATGTCACAGACGAGGCTGTGATGTAACAGGACAGGATGCGATGTCACAGAGGATGTGATGTCACAGGAGACCTGTGATGTTATAGGAGAGCTCTGATGTCACATAGGAGGATGTGATGTCACAGGGGAGTTGTGATGTTATAGGAGAGCTGTTACGTCACAGAGGAGGATGTGATGTCATAGGATACCTGCGATGTCACAGAGAAGGATGTGATGTCAGATGGGAGCTGTGATGTCACAGAGAAGGATGTGATGTCACAGGGGAGCTGTCATGTCACAGAAGAGGATGTGATGTCATAGGAGACATGCGATGTTACAGAGGAGGATGTGATGTCACAGAGGAGGATGTGATGTGCCAGAGGAAGATGTGATGTCACAGGGAGTTGTGATGTCACAGAGGAGGATGTGATGTCACAGAGGAGGGTGTGACGTCACGGAGGATGATGTGATGTCAAAGGGGAGCTGTGGTATCACAGAGGAGGATGTGATGTCACCGAAGAGGATGTGATATCACAGGGAGAATGTGATGTCACAGTGGAGATGTGATGTCACGGGAGAGGTGTGATATGTTATAAATGAGATGTCACAGAGGAGGATGTGATGTCATATGAGAGATGTGACTCAGGGAGGAGCCGAGGTCGGGGAGGGCAGAACCGGTCCCAGAATGGATCGGGAATGGGGACCCCCCCTGCGTTCCCCTGTGTCAACCTGCTCGGGGGTCTTTGGGAGGGCACCTGCACCTCAATGGGCACCCAGCTCACTCAAAAAGGTGCCAGGACCACCCCACAGACCCCCAAGGACCCCGTATATCCATCCAGAGCCCACCCAGGACCCCCTCAATTCCCTTTTTTTGAGAGGACCTTTAGGGGCACTGGAGGCTGAGATGGGCAGCAAAGTTCATACCCGTCTACAGCCTGAGGCACTGAAATGCTGAGTTTTAAGCACAGAAAGGAGAAGCTTGAGGTAGTTTGTTGAAGGTAAAAGGACTGATTTCTCATGTATTTTAACTACTTCTGAAATGCTTCAAAGCCTGGTTTCCAGGGGTTTATTTAATTTGGCAAGTTCTTGGGGTTTTCTTGGGCTGTTCTTTGTGTGGGGGGTGGGTGGGTGGGTTGGTTGTTTTTACAGTTACTTGTCTCATAGACTTGGTGCTTTTCCCAGGAGAACATTGATTTGTGTAGAGACAAAATCCCTGGAGAATATCTTAATCTGGGGATAAAAATACTCCCCTGGGAAGGATGCAGGATGGGTTTGTATTATTTATTTAAGAGTTTCAGGTCCAAAACGAGCAGTTTCAGCCAAATTTTCTAAGTGACTGAGGAACCCTTTTCTCCAAATGTCCTCCCTGAGGCAGTTGCAAATCCCCAGTTTTTATTCAGTTTTCTGGAATGATTCTAAAGGAATTAAATGCTTTTTTTGGCCATCATCTAGGCAACTGCTGCCACGGATAACATCGATTGTAAGAAGGCAGAAGAGAAGGACATGAAAGGGTCACCTGTGAGCAAAAGGTATTTTTCATTTTCAGTAGCCTCTGAATTTTTGTTACTAGTTTTCTGTTTCTGTGGAAGAGTTCAGTGTCCTCCCTCCTGGGAGGGATGGGAACAAATGATTAAACGTGGAAAATGTTCCAACATTGCAAGTTGTAATTTGTCCAGATGGTCTAAAGATGTCCAGATTATTGGGAACCTTACAAATTTTTGTTTTCAGGGAGAAATATTTGATGAAGAAATCCAGCAAAGGCAAAAGTGCAAGGTCAAGCCTCAGCCTCTGGAGAGCTGAGGGGTGGCACTGGTTGCCCCAGAATTACATAGGGAAAATAAGAAACAGGAATTTTGGGGTGGGATCGAGCCAGTTTGGGGTGGGATTGAGCCGTTTTCAGTAGGATTGATCCACTTTGAGGTGACTCGACTTTTGGGATGCAGAGCTGGGAGAGACTGGAATGTTAATGGTCCATGGCTCCAACACTCTCAGTTGCAGAAGCAGTGGGGGTTTTGCTGCCCATAGGCAAAGGAACCGCTCAGGGCAGAGGGGGGAACACCCACCCCTAGAGGGGACAGGCTGGGCTTGGAGCCAGAGAGGGGAAGTGTTATTTTTATGGTTTTATATCACTATAGACAGGAACCAAAACTGCCCCAAATCTACTCTATGTGGAAACAAAATTGTTCTAGAGTAGACCCAACATATATATATATATATATGTACATAGATAAACTATCCTCGGGGGGGAGGGAGTTCTTCATCTTTCTACTCTGATACTTTCTTTCTTTTCCCTTCTACATTTTCTTAAATGTTATTTTTATGCTTTCATATCACTATAGAAAGGAACCAAAAAGGCTCCAAACTTGCTTTACATGGCAACCAAACTGTTCTAAACTAAACACTACATATATATATCTATAAACACTGATTATTCACTGTCCTTTCACTCTAATCTGCCCAAGGCCTGGATTAACAAGACCCTGGGTCACCCTCGGTGTCAGGGGGGTCAGGACAGGGGCTGGACATGGAGGAAGCTTCTGGTAGCTGCTCACAGAACCCACTCCTGGAGCTCCCCTTCTTTCAAAACATGGCCATCCAGACCCAATACACTGCCAAGCATGGATCACCTGCAACATGGGTCACCAGGTCTGTGCCCAGCATGGATCACCTGGAATGTGGGTCACCAGGTCTGTGCTCAATGTGGGTCACTGTGGATCATCCAAGGGGGGTCCTCTGATGGTTGATGGAGTTGGAATAGCGGCCAAAGCTCTTCCTGCAGTCGGGGCACTCACAAAGCTTCTTCCCTTACCGGTGGGTCCGTTGGTGTTGGGTCAAACTAGAGCTCTGGCTGAAGCTCTTCCCACACTCCCCACACTTGTAGGGCTTCTCCCCTGTGTGGATGCGCCGGTGGGTGACGAGGTGGGAGTTCTGGTTGAAGCTCTTCCCACAGTCGGTGCAGTGGAAAGGCCTCTCCCCTGTGTGTGTCCGCTGGTGCTGGAGGACATGTGAGCTGCGCTGAAACCTCTTCCCACATTCCAAGCACTTGTAGGGCCGTTCTCCAGTGTGGATGCGCTGGTGGGTGATGAGCTGGAGCCTCTGGTTGAAGCTGTTCCCACATTCCCCACACGTGAAGGGTCCTTCTCCAGTGTGGACACGCTGGTGTTGGATCAGGTTAGAGCTGCTCCTGAAGCTCTTCCCACATTCCTCACACATATAAGGCCGTTCTCCAGTGTGGATGCGCTGGTGGCGAATCAGGTGCGAGCTGTACCCGAAGCTCTTCCCACATTCCCTACACTTGTAGGGCCATTCCCCGGTGTGGATGTACTGGTGTCGGATCAGGTGGGAGCTGCCCCTGAATCTCTTCCCACATTCCCTACATTTGTAGGGCCGTTCCCCAGTGTGGATGCGCTGGTGTTGGTTCAGGTAGGAGCTGTCACTGAAGCTCTTCCCACACTCCCCACATGTGTAGGGCCGTTCCCCAGTGTGGATGCGCTGGTGAGTGCGGAGGTTGGAGTTGTCACCGAAGCTCTTCCCACATTCCCCACACGTGTAGGGTCGTGCCCCAGTGTGGATGTGCTGGTGTCTTATCATGTCAGAGCTGTTCCTGAAGCTCTTCCCACATTCCTGACACGTGTAGGGTCGTGCCCCAGTGTGGATAAGCTGGTGTCGGATGAGGTTGGAGCGTTTACTGAAGCTCTTCCCACATTCCAAACACTGGAAGGGTTTCTCTCTGCTGGGAGGTTGGTCAGGGACCACCAGGTTGGAGTTCGGGCTCAGGCTCTGGCTGCCTTCCCGGCACAGCCTAGGAAGCTCCGGGTAGCACCCTGGGATGGCTTTGGAGCCCCTCCTGCGGGGGGATCTCCGGACCTTTTCCTCCCCGCTGCCTTCCTGCGCCGGGGAGCCCTTCAAAACGGCCTCTCCCACCAGGATCTCACAGGGGGATTTGTCCTCCGGGCTCTCCGTCCTCAGCTCGGGGCCTGGGGCAGGAAGCAAGAAGGACAGGGAGGGGATTTGCCTCCGGCCCACAGGGAAGGCCAAGGACATCCCCCCAACTCCGGTCCCGGCGGGACGGCGGCGGCAGCGGGGTTGTCCTGCAGCCGGGGCCATGCTCGGCTGACAGAGCCAGCACAACACCCGCCCAAAGGGCCACTGACTTCCTCCTCACCTGCCTGGGGGGCCCAAGGCATCTTCCTCTTCCTCACAGCCTCCTCCTCCATCTGCCCAAGCTCTGGGAAGCAGAAATCCTGCTGGGGGGGAAAACAAAGGTTGAGCGTGTTGGCTTGGGGGTTCCTCCTGCCCAAGTCCACCTTTAGAATTCACTGGGCATCCTGTGTCCATAAAAACCTCCAAACCACCAAGATTCAGCCCAGAAAAATCCAAACCATTGAGATTCAGGCAAAAAACCCTTCAGAAATAGCAAGAAGTCTGCCACCTTCCAAAAGTTGAGATTCAGCCAAAAAATACGCCAAAATATGAGGATTACCCAAAAATATCTCCCAGAAGTCCCCCATCTCTGGTCTCTCCCCTTTGGGGTTCGGAGGGTCTCCCCTGTCTGTCATGCTGGGGGTCCCACTTAGAGATGCTGGGAGTGTTGGGGGTCCCAAGGGTCCCTTCTCCTCTGACTCTTGCCTTCAAGGTGCTGCATTCCCAGACATTCCCCCTCTCCAGGTTTTCCACTTTGTTGTCCCGGGGATCTCAGGGGTCCCCACTGTCCAGGCTTCCCCTTCTCCACGCTCCCCATTTCAGGTTCCCAAGGGTCCCAGGGCTCCTCCCTCTTCATGCTCCCCCCTCCAGGCTGCCGGGGGTCCCCCCGCTCCAGCATCATCCTGCTCCGCCCTCCACACTCAGCAGCTCTGGGGCTCCACACCCACCCCCGGCACT